AGAAGTATATGTGTTTATTTTATAAAGTGAACAGTGTCCTAGTTCTGACTGAGAAGTATATCTGTTTATTTTACAAAGTGAACAGTGTCCTGGTTCTGACTGAGAAGTATATCTGTTTATTTTATAAAGTGAACAGTATTCATATCAAATTTGTATTTACTGAACTCATCCAATATTAGGTTTGTATTAACACAATGGTTGTTACAAAGTTAATTGTTATAATATTGAAATTGACTGTAAAATAAAAGGACGTATGTATGTGGACTGGATTCAGATTGCTTGGCGTCCTGTAGCAGGCTGTTATGAAAACGATATGGATTTTATGAAAGGCAAAGAATTTCTTGGCCAGTTCCGTAACTATCAGTTTCTTAAGATACACAGAACATGGACCTTCTAGAAACCTGGGATATGGTTGTTTTCATTTCAAATATCACAGTATATAGTAGCAAAAATTTAAAGAAGAAGTAATTGTCAGATTAATAAATTAAAATTTACTCATATAATTAAAAAAAAGATTAGGTGTTAGGATTCAAATTTCATCCAAAAATTCTACTGCAGTACTTGCATATTGCACAGTCATGGCTGCATGTTTGTTGGAAAGAATACAGCATCTGTTTCACAAATATCTTTGAGAGTTGTTGTATATTGGTTTGCAGTAAGAAACAAAAATGTTATATTTTTATGTACCACATGTTGGATATGTACTCTGCTTACAGCATTCAGTAGTGTTCTATGAACAGGATGGTGATGAAGTGTACCAGTTTCGAGCCCAGGCCGATCTTGTCAGAGTTCCTGATCATGAAATATTACAGGTATGAATAAATGCATAAAGTGTAGGAATAATCTTGATGCTTGTAAATTATAGCATTTTCTGTTGTCACGTTCTTCAGATTTCCAGATAGTAGCAGAGTATAGAAGGTCGTCGACATATTTTGCGGCTGTAGTGTAGAAGTATTATGTCATGTTTCTGTGAAAAATGAAACATAGGAGCACTTTATGCTCCTCTATCATTTTAATTTACAAGGTTTGACAAATTCTCTGAGTCTGTTATGCACATTTAAAAGCACATAGGAACATGTTTCAGCTTCTCTGTATAAGCTGGCTCTTCCATAGTGTTCCCAGGACAAGGTCAGTCACCTCTCACCTGTCTTTCATGCTTAGTCATGTTTAAGATTTTGTACCGTGCAGATTGTTGTCACAGCTCGTAATGATGGAGCAAAGAGTGAACATTAAGTTTTTTCAAGATAGGCAAAACAGGTACTGAAACCTTCCAACTAATAAAACAGACTTATACTGTCAGTACTCTTTCATACGTGGGTTTTTGAATGGTTTAAATGATTTAAAGATGGGTGTGAGAATCTTCAGGATGATCAAACAATTGGGCATCCTTCAACTTCTTGAAATTCAGACACAATCACAGATGTCCATGAAATAGTGATATTAGTTCGTTCATGGGCTCTCAGATTGATGGCGGATGAATTAAACATCCATAAGGAGATGATTCACCAGTCCTCCATGAAGATTTAATGAAGAGGTAAATCTGCACAAAGTTTGTTGCACACAGACTCATGGATGAGCAGAAGCATGGAGACTCACATCATACCAAGTCCTTGTCCAGACGTGTCAAAACAGACCTGGTTTTTTTATTGTGTTTTTCTCTTTCGTAAGGTGAAAACTGTGCAACAAGGAAAGAGATTTCAGGATGTTAAAGACATTAATAAAAACATGATGGCCAAACTGAAAGCTGTTCCTTTGGAGGCCTTTACTAAATGTTTTCAGAAGTTTATTAAATGATTCAACAAATGTATTCAAGTTGCCACATATTACTTTGAATAGAAATAAAACAATTTTTTATTTTGGTACGTCTTTTATTTCTAATTTGACACTAGTTTTGGAACTTATTGCCAGACCTTGTACACACTTTTGTGGCTCCTATAAATGTGCACACAAATTGACCCAAGTTATATGTGGTTAATTTACAATAAGAGAGACATTATTTACTTTTGATATGTTAAAAGCTGTAATTAAGAGTTGGCAGTTTGAATTCTGCTTGAACATAATAAACATTTGTATTGTTTGGATCTAATGTAATCCAAGTTTCAGTCACAATGTTTAGCATGTTATAGACTATATGAGGCATGGCAGCTGTGTTAATGAGGTGACCATCAATGGATGGGATGATTGATTTTCATTTCCAGCAGATGTATTTTTGTTTTCTCTTTACTGTTGAGGTGTATCCAGCCTCTTTTATAAACCAGTACTGAGACCTTCCCTGTTGGTATATAGGGCTGCCAAACATTTTGTTCTTATGCACAAAACTACAGTTTTTTTTTTGTTATGCTCTTCTCAATGTTAACCTTAATGATGCAGGTAGTTATTAGAATGTAAACTTATATGTCAATGGCACATGGGAATGAACTTCTCAATTCAACACACAGCACTCATTCACAGTCCAGAGGTCCTGGGCTAAAATCTTTGTCTGGAGACCAGCTGTCTTGACCGATTTTTTGTGGCTTTTCTTAGACCCTCCAGACAGATGTTGGGTTAATGCCTCAAATTAGGCCAAAACCACTTTCTTGCAATCCTTTCCAGTTCATTGTGTGCTTATTATCCTATCATTTAATGCTACATAGCATTGTTAAATAAGTCATAAGGAAAGAGATGAATAGTTAGATGGCACCTAAGCTGAAGACAGGGGGAGCTTGGAGGGAAGGTTTCATACATTGCAGACTCATTATAAGTAGTCAAATTGTCAGATTCACATCAGAAAAGATTAGAAGAATGAGTGTCATTCTTAGTCTGGATTCTTGAGGTGCTTTCTGAATTGCCTCCCTTCTCTCAGTTCATAAGTATACAGTAATCAGGTTTGATGTTTGTATACGGTATGTTGTATGGTTCTTCAGTCATCTTGAGTGCAGTGGTAAAGGAGAAATCCAGTGCTGTGATCAGTGATTGGCCATTTCTGGAATATTCAGTCTTCTGTGATGTTACATTACATTACACACTTGGTTTACTGTTTCATTGTATCTACTGATGATGTGTCCAGGTTGCTTGTCACTTTCAGTGGATATTTATTACTTTTTCAAGTGTCAGAACTCCAAACCCACACATATGAGTGTGACTATGACTGGAAACTCTTTCCAGGTAGAATTCAGGAAGAGGCTGAATATGTTGATAGACATCTCCCCCCCAAAGTTATGAAACCCCGTACAAGGTTCAGTTAATTATTGATTTACATCTTTTTTGCAGACTTCCTATGGCTTCTTTGCACATGTTAAGGAGCTTATGTAAGACAGACCTTTCAGGAAGAGTGAGGTATCTTTCATCTAGTGGTTATGTGTTTTGCAGATGTTTTTTTTTATTAAATGTGAAGTCAGTTTCATCAAAGATATCGGTTGATAAGGGGTGTTAATATATATTTTAAGTTACAATGACTTAGAGTCATAGATGCTGTATTTCATGTACTGTAAATTGACCAGAACTGTGAATGTTGTCATTTAGTTCTCATGCATAGATAGGGACTGAAAGGCTGTAGTTATTTCCAGATACTTTTTTCTAAAATATAATTAATTGTGTGTCCTTCCTGGATTACTTATTCTATAGTGTTATGAAGTTTGTTATTCAAATATTTGTAGATCTGAAAGATATGTATTTTTGTACTTGGTACAAGACCAATATTGCAGTAACAAACTCATTAAAGTAATAGTGCTATTGCAGCTTCACTTGTGTTGAGCAGTCTAGTGTAATGATGGTTCTGTAGACTTGTATTCAGGAGGTACTCAGTTCAGTTGTCTGGGACACTGGCTATCGTGACATGAGGTTTTAGTGGTTTTTCTCATTCCCCCCAAGGAAATGTGAGGATAATACCACATGTAAATTCGTTATTCACTGATTATCATATCATTTGAGACTACATATTTTGGAGACTGACAGCATTGTAAATACTCTCTTTGTAGCAGTGTGTCTGCAGTCACTTCAGAGATCTTCATTTTGTTCTCATTAGTGAGGCTACAGGTGTGAGATTAGTTATGTCTTGAGCTAATATTTTTTGTCAACATCGAACCATATGCTTTTTCTGTGTTATGTATGTGGCTGCCAGGAGAACCTTGTGGAGAGTAAGCATCACAAGCTTGCAAGAAGTCTTCGAAGTGGTGTCTCTGACAAAGATGCCAAGCCTAATGCCAGTGTTCGTGACCTTCTCAATACCATTGTGGCATATCCTCCAACCAAACAACTGACAACTGAAGAGCAAGATTTAGTTTGGAAATTCCGTTTTTATCTCAGTAACCAAAAGAAGGTAAGTACAAAGAGGAGAGCAAGGGGACTGCAAAGACCTTGAGAAAGATTTATAGATATTGTCAGCAACACTACAGTTGGCTTTTTGGAAGTGTAGTGTAACTAATCTATCACTCTGAGTATTCAGTTTATTAAAACAGAATGCATGAGTTGCCAGAAGCACTTTTGTGGGTTGGAGTGGTGACAGTATCATGAGTGAATGAATGAATGAATGAGTGAATGAATGAATGTGGGCCTTCTTGGCTCTTGCACCTACAGTGATCTATTGTGCTTCCCCTTTTGATTATCCCCTCAGCAATCCTGTGCTTCGAATGAAGTGCAGGATTTTATATGTGGTTCCATAAATTATTGACTCAAGTGGCACAATCTTAAATAAGCTAAGGCCTCACATTCACACAGGATATGTGTGGCTGTTTCATTTTCTTCCTGACACCTCTCTAGTCCCAGTTTGAAGAGGTGTCCTTTAACCTTTAATGGCCGAATGTTATAATTATTGCCATCAAGTAGCAAGCCGAGCTGGCCGAATGTTATAATTTTTAGAGGCAAGCCACGTGCTTCCTTTTTGAGTGCTGGCAGTTTGACCTTGGGTTTGAAACCCAAACAAACTCATGAACTTCCTGTCAGACGTTTATCTGTTAGCTCTGAACAATGAAATCGTTTATCAGGGTACTGGTTTCGAAACTATTTACGTTTAGATATGACTGTTTATGAACTGGTGAGCCAATAGAGGTCAGCTTTGTTTTGAGAACTTAGAGGAGGAAATATTTGTGGGCGCTTGCATATCAGTGTCACCAGAGCTTTCAAGGAAGTGTGACAAATTCAGGGATTGGTTTGCAGTGTTGAATTGTAAGTTAGGACGTCAGTGGCGGATTTTCTAATATTTCTTTATTATGATTTGTTTCATTTTGGTCCATCACACTGACAGTTACAATTACAAGAGACAAGTCCGTCCAATGTGACTATTTCAGTTTTCTCACTTGATGATTCACTAGCCTTACATGTTTCGATCCATTTGGATCATCTTCAGAGGCACCAAACACTTTTTAGAAACCACTATCACAACAGTTGTCATATCAAATACACATGTAATGTCCAANGAAATCGTTTATCAGGGTACTGGTTTCGAAACTATTTACGTTTAGATATGACTGTTTATGACCTGGTGAGCCAATAGAGGTCAGCTTTGTTTTGAGGACTTAGAGGAGGAAATATTCGTGGGCGCTTACATATCAGTGCTACCACAGCTTTCACGGAAGGGTGACGAATTCAGGGATTGGTTTGCAGTGTTGAATTGTCAGTTAGGATGTCAGTGGCGGATTTTCTAATATTTGGTTATTAGTTAGGAAGTCAGTGTCAGACTCCTATATTTCTTTGAATATAATTTTTATTGTGTATCTCGGAAGAGGTATAAACCCACTGAGCCAGTGTTACTTTGTGCGTAAAGACATCTTCGTCACTGTGACTTTCGGTATCAGTGGCGGGCTGGCACTTTTCGACTGCTATTGCAATTACTTTGCATTCCAATTTCGCGAGTGTTCCTAACAGGTGTTCCTAACAGCCTCGCTTTTTCAATCATAAATTATAGGATTTAGCTGGAAGCCCCTTCCCCCAAGATGGAACCTCAAAAACGAGCCCGATACTCAAAACTCCTCGATGCTGAAGAACTGGAGGAAATATTGATGGAAGATGAATCCGACGAAGAGTTGGAAGAACTCGATGAGGTCATTGAACCTCACGAGCATATGTCGTCATCACCATCATCATCATCATCATCCTCAAGTAATGAAGCAGGGGAAATGGAGATCAGGTTTCGCGATAGAAGACCCGGGGATTCGTCAAAGCTCCTAGATTTCACTGGTCCTNCCTCCGAGTGGAATCAACAGATCTGCTGCTCCCAATACAAATGCTCAGTCCTCACCCTTTTCCATTTTCATTCTCTTTTTCGAACATATATTCCAGATCTTTGTACAAGAAACAAACAGATNTGGAACATCTTGCTGTTGATGAGGTGATAGTGCTGTTCAAAGGAAGAGTGGTTTTTCGGCAGTATATTCCAAAGAAACACAAAAGATTTGGAATACAAATTTACAAGCTTTGCGATTCTCTGGGCTATACATATGACATGACTGTTTATTTGGGGAAACAAAGGCAACTTGCAACCGAAGAAATTACACCAACCCATGGCATTGTTCTCCAGCTCCAGCTCCAGTAGAAGGCTCAGGACACAAACTTTATATGGACAGCTATTTCAGTTCCCCTGCAGTGTATGACGATCTTCTAGAGCATAAAATAAATTTGTGTGGCACCATTCGCAATGACAGGCGTGGAATGACACAGGAAATTCGGCCCAGATCGATGAAATTTGAAAAAGGGGATATTGTGACAAGAATGAAGGGGAATCTAAGTGTTGTTCATTGGAAAGACAAGTGTGATGTGTATGTTCTGACGAATATGAACCGTGCTCCATTGGATGGCAACTTCTGAGATGAATCTGGCCATGCTATCAAACCTCATGTAATTGAAGACTACAATGTACACATGGGCTTTGTGGACAAATCTGATAGAATGGTGAACAGCTATGGCATTGCTCGGAGGACATGGAAATGGACGAAGAAATTATTCTTCCACCTCCTAGACATGACTATTTTTGATGCATATCTGTTACACAAGTCATGTGATGGAAAAATGACACACAAAAAATTCCGCGAAATTTTGGGGCGTGATTTGATTCTTCAATCACATGAGGCGAATATCACGGTCAGTGGCGTTTCTCGGGGGAGGCCAAGTTCATCTGGGGCCCAACTGAGTCAACTGGAGGTGAAACATTCAAAACACTGGCCAGCTAAAGGAAAACAAAGATGTTGTCGCGTTTGTTCTATAAACAAGAAAGACAGGAGCACGCTTTTCTGCTGTAAAAAGTGGGATGTTGCGCTGTGTGTCGTGGACTGCTTCGAGAAATGTCACACGTGCGTCAGAGTGTAAACTGTGAAGTGACGCAGTCCAAACCAAATATTATTGTATATAGTGTCATCATATTTTCATCACCACCACGATTCAAGGTTGAAGAAAAACAATGGGTAAGTCCTTTAGAATTTCATAACGTATATAATAACGATTATATTTTGCAATTCATGATAAAATAATCACAGTTAATTTTCATTTGTAAAACTTGCCCTTTTATGTATATGTAGAAAATTTTATTGTCTTTCAGGTTCTTTTTAGTTCATATTCTGATGTTGCATAGAACGGAAAATATGCATTTTTTTTTCTGAAAGTTTGCAATGTTAAAGACTTACAGCCATTTAAATTCCAGCAGTAGGGAGCTGCCGGCAATGAAAAGTCTGTAAGTTAAAGGTTAAGGTGACAGTTTCCTGAAAGTAGTCCCACCACCCATCATAGCTGGTTCCTGTTTAACTTCAACAGTTCCTTCGCTCTTTTAGCAGAGGGTCCTCATATGAGTCCCTTTGCTTGCCTGAGTCCAGTCAAGGATCCCCAGTATTTCTTGTGTGTGACAGTATTGTACTGTATTGGTATAAATGAAATGCTTGGAATATTTATTTTTTTTATTTTCCCAGCATTATTTTTAAATATTTGTATTATTTGAGGCTATTAAAATTGCTCTGAGAATTAAATCCAACCCTTAGGTCATTTCACCCATTCATCTTTTAAGTTGTTTGCCAAGGATCTTAGTTGAGGAATGTAATTAAGCTATTTTAAAAATTACTAAATTGAGGTTGTTATTGCTGGAGACAGAATTGGCAGGAATTTACAAATGGATTTTGCATAACAATGGATCTGTTTGTATAGGAAGAAATTATTCAGTTTAACATGAATGAAACATTTCTAATACACCATCTTTTGACTTCACTTTATTTTTTTCCAGGCTCTAACCAAATTCCTAAAATGTGTAAACTGGAAACTGAGTGGAGAGGTACGACAGGCACTAGATATGCTTCAGCAGTGGACACCAATGGATGTGGAGGATGCTTTAGAACTACTGAGCTCCAACTTCACTCATCCGGCTGTACGGAGATATGCTGTCACACGACTGAAACAAGCTCCCGATGAGGTAGTCAGTTTGAAATTATGTATGTGCTTTAGTATTTGGATAAAATGACACAATATTATTAGTCATATATTAGTTGTTAGTCATGTCATTGACTATTTAATTGCTTGCAGTCTGAAGTCTGTGGAAGGTAAAGTTGCAGAAGCTGTACTTCATCTGATTATTTAAAGTTCTACAAGCCCAGAGTATTTCCTAATTTAGCTTTTGTTCCTTATTTAGTTATTAAAAATGTACCATGGATGGTATCTGTGATCATGCCAGCATTAAGTATAATTTTATTAAGTAGATTATCAATTTTGGAAACAACATTTGGACTATTATATGTTAAATAACTCTTAATTTGTTAGCTATACTGTTACAAAATTTTGATGTTATACATTTTCCATATCCTTGAATTATTCATGTTTTTATGCTTTGAGAGCTTAATTCATTAGCTATATTGTTACAGGATTGTGGATATTGTTACATGTTTTCCATATCCTGGAATTATTAATGTTTGTATGCTTGGAGAGTAAGTTACATTCTTGTTATGAAAGTCATGTAATTAATATTATGTGGAGGAAAAATTTGATGTGATGCATTTGCAGGGATGGGAGCAAGGGCCAGGACATGCAGAGACCTGACAGGAAATATTACAAATTCTGCCTGCACTGTGAATTTTCTTAACAAGTATTAATTATGTATGTTATGTCATATGTCAGTATAAAACGCAGAAACATGAAGATAAGCAGGGAAGATGTGTACTTTTAGTTTGATTCAGGAAAGCAGTTCCTTGCCATATCAAACATACAAAAGCATATCATAATTAAATGTCACCTGCCATACTTAACGTACTAAAACATAACATGTAACGTGCATCAGATCCAGAAATTTCAGGACAAATTGAGTTTAAGTGGTGCAGCAGATGGTTGAAGAAAGAAAATATTGCATGTCATCACAATTACAGTTCCTGCTCATGTCTTTATAGGAACTGTTGTTGTACCTTCTCCAGCTCGTTCAGGCTCTCAAATATGAGAACTTTAATGATATTAAAGAGGGTTATAATCGACTGTTTCCTGGACGAGATACATCCGTGTCATCGCATGAAGACACACAGAGTGAACGAACAGCAGTCAGGTATTCATACAGAAGTCTGTTCCATCTATCAGTGCAGTCAGTTTTGTTGAGAACACTGTTGTATTATTATACTTTGAGATTACCTGGTTGATTTTTGGAAACCTTGCTTGTGGCATGATATGTGCAACAGGGCATCACTGCTAGTGGTGTTGTTACCATTAATTCCCTGTTTGTTGTCATGGATGGATAAGAACAGCTCAGGCTAATAAGTTAAGGTCAGAATGGTTTGACAGAGACCTAACTTGATGATGGTGATGGCATTGGCAGTCTGCCATGTCATGATGTTACAGAGATTAATATATGCATTAGAATTTGTGATCTTTGCTTCTGTAACTCTGACACCTGGTTCTTAAGCTTGTATACAAAATATGTATGATATTTGTTGGTACAAGTACAATTGTAGTTAGTTGGTAACTGTGTATGATATTAGCTGCAGTCTTCAAACTCTCTTGTTCTGCATGTGCTGTGGCTTGTTTACTAGTTTTGCATTTCTACATTGTTTTGCTTTAAAGTGTATATAAAAACATGTAAAAGATGAACATTAAGCAAGTTACAAAAAAAAATAAATTGCTATTCTTGCTGATCAGTAAAAGTCGAATGTCAGCTATTGTTTCCTACCCTAATGAGACATATCTTATTTAAAAATAGTGGCAGAAGTTTGATAACTGGGGAACTATTTCAAGGAAATAGCAGCTCCGGTCTAGAAAACTGAGATTAACGACCGTGGGGATCCATTGCGCTGACCACGCAACATGCTCTATCTGCAGAAGTTTGCACTAACTTCACCAACAAGTGGTGGTCGCTCGGTTGGTATAGTTTGCTTGCGGACTACAGGCCACGGAGTTTGTTTGTTTTTGTTTGGCAGAAGTTTTCCCCCCACACCCACTCCATATAACTGAAATGGTAATGTATAAGAAAATTCAAACAACACAGCATGCCATGAACACCTACAGGATGACATTAAAGAATCCTCTTCTCAAGAACTACAAAGCGGTACATGGTTGGTCCCCTTCAAGAGAAGAAATAATAAAAAGGGCAGAGCAACTCGGTTTACAATTTCCAACAAAAATCTTAACAAATTAACTGTAAATAATTTAACATGTTAAGACAGCTGCTGTAGTTGTTAAAACATTAGATTTTAAATCCTTGTATTTTATCAACATTATGTATATATATTTTAGCATTCAAAAACATATTGTAATAGTGGCTTCTGATTGTGTTGATGTCCCTCCGAGGATTGTCTGTAAAGACCGAAACATGTAAGGGATGAGGGATTGAAATAAGAAAAATCTTTACTAGTCACACTGGATGGAACTGTGTAACCTCTTATGAAAATTCAAATTACTCAAACTGTGATTGGCATAATAATATTACATATTATTATAAAATGTATAACATGCTTGATAATAGTTACAGAGTTACAGAAAGGAAATATACATGTCATATGTGTAACTTTTTCCTTATTTAGGGGGGGGGTGTGCTTTATTGAATGAAGATGCGAGGAAACCTTATGAAAATAAATTTAGAGAGTAATTTTCTTTTATTCTTGATGTGCTTTTACATATTTATGGTATATATAAAATTTTCTGCAGGGAAACCAAAGATCCTCATGAAACTACAATGAAGAAATCTTTGAGTTTAAATCCAACAGAACAGAGTGTGGGATCTGATGATGTATCTCCACCAGTTGCAAGATCTAACTCCCTGCTTGACAATTTAGTACAGAACAGTCTTCCTGCAGAGCAGCCAGATTCAAAATTAGATGCTGGACAAAGAGGCCAGTGGGGAACAGAGAAAGAAGAGACTAATCAAGATCTGGCTACTTTTTTAATACAAAGGGCATGCCAGAACTCAGCTCTAGCCAACTACTTTTATTGGTAGGTACTCTATATGTTGCACAGATCTTTTATGCATAGATGATCCACATGTGCATGTATACCAAAGTCAACTAGAGAAAAGAAGCATAAAGTTAATTTGTACCTTAATAAAGGCTCTGCAAGATACTGTTATCATACTTCCATACCTTTTTCATACACAGCTGACACTACATGTCACTACATGCCCTTCAAAAATTTGGGAGAAAGTTAACACTATTTTTGCATGTATTGCAAATATTGCTATTGCAAAATAAATATACATTGTAGTCATAGGATTTTTGAACATGGAGACAGAGAATAGTATAGCACAGTTTCTTAGGTGTATTTCAGAGCTATATGATCGACCTAATCGGCCAGAAACCTTAGAAGTTGAACCGGAAGAAGAAGTAGATACAGACGAGAAAGGACCATATATTTTACAAAGTGAGGTGGAAAAAGCTATCAAGGAAATGAGGAAGGGAAAGGCTACAGGAGATGATGATGTACCTGGAGATGTGCTCAAGTTACTGGGAGAAGGTGGTTTGAAAACACTGACAAAACTAATGAACACCATATATGAAAGTGGAGAGTGGCCCAAGGACTTTACAGAAGTTACAATGATTGCCTTAAAGAAAAAGACAAAAGCTACAAAATGCAGCGACCATCGCACAATAAGTCTTATTGCACATACAGCAAAGATAATAGCAAAGATACTTAAAAGAAGAATTGAAAGGAAAATAGAGGATGTACTTGGAGAAGATCAGTTTGGATTTAGAAGAGGAAAAGGAACCAGGGATGCAATTGGGATGATGAGAATTATAGCGGAACGAACTTTGGAGATAGATGAAGAACTGTGTGTTTGCTTCATAGACTGGCAGAAGGCATTTGACCGGGTAAACTGGACCAAATTAATGCAGATCCTGAAAGAAACAGGTATCGATTGGCATGAAAGAAGATTGATTAGCAAATTGTACATGGATCAGAAAGTTAGAGTACGACTGGACAGGGGGGAGACAGGAAGTGTGCAGATTGGAAGAGGAGTTCGACAAGGATGCTGTTTATCACCAATTCTGTTCAACTTGTACAGCGAATGCCTTACCAAGGAAGCTCTGGATGGGCTCGGTGACTTCAAAGTAGGAGGGCAAATTATTCAAACTGTGAAATATGCAGATGACCTTGTGTTAATGGCTAAGGAAGAAACTGTGCTACAGGGCATGATTGATAGACTAATTGAAATTGGAAGGTGCTATGGCATGGAAATGAATGTGGAGAAAACAAAAGTAATGAAAATTTCGAGACAACCAACCCCAGTCACAATAAAGATAGACCAAAAACAAGTGGAGAATGTGAAATGTTTTAAATATTTGGGTAGCTTGTTAACAGATGATGGAAGGTGTACTTGTGAAATTAAATCCAGGATTGCCATGGCAAAAGCTGCATTTAGCAAGAAGAAGAATCTTTTTACCAGCAAATTGGACTTAAATTTGAGGAAGAAACTAGTGAAATGCTACATTTGGAGCATAGCTCTGTATGGGGCTGAAACATGGACACTTAGGGCAGTAGATCAGAAACATCTGGAAAGTTTCGAAATGTGGTGTTGGAGAAGAATGGAGAAGATCAGTTGGACCGATTATGTGAGAAATGAAGAAGTGTTAATTAGAGTCAGTGAGCAGAGGAATATCCTACATGAAATAAGAAAACGGAAGGCTAATTGGATTGGTCATGTTTTATGCAGAAACTGCCTTCTAAAAGAAGCTATTGAAGGAAAGATAGATGGGCGGATAGAAGTGACAAGAAGGCGAGGAAGAAGACGTAAGAAGATGCTGGATGACCTTGGGGACAGAAGAGGATCCTGTCATTTGAAGGAGAAAGCTCTAGATCGCATGAAGTGGAGGAATTGTTTTGAAAGAGACTGTGGACCTGTCGTCTTGACAGATTACTGATGATGATGATGATATTCCAATATCTTTTTGAGAAAGTAAATTCTGCCTGTGCAGAAGTCAATGCATTGATGTGGGATATGGATTGTACTGGCTTTTAGACCCTTTTTGCATTGTATATAGATGAAAGAAACAAATTTCAGGGCATTATCAGAATAATGAGTCATACAGATATGTATAAATAGTTCTGTTCATCTCACAGAAATTTCAGAGAGAAGGGCTATGTAGAGAATTTTTTTGGTAACTGTCTTACAGAAAATGGGAAGTATGGAAATTTTGAATCAGAGGTCTAATATAGATATGTGTGTGCTGCAGTAGGCCAGTGAACAGAATATGCCTTTTGTATTGCTGCTAAAATAAGTTGTTTACCAAATTACAATATGGTTCTCCTCAGAATCTTAATTCACCTTTTATGCAGATAAATTAGTAAATCAGCATTTGCTGTGTTTAGGTACCTTTTGATAGAATGTGAAGATCAAGAGCCAGCTGTGAAACAGGACAGCAAAGTGCGTGACATGTATCTTACTGTCATGAAGACATTCTCACAGGTAAACCACATTTTTATCAGTATGAAGCTTGTTTGCTCATATCTTGGAATCAGGTTTCAGTTTGGCATTAAATGGGTGATCCTCTGAAAGTCTCTAACACTGGTCAGATCATTACAGCATGAGAACATTGCATATTTATTAAAATTTGTTACTTGCAGAAGTTATATGGCATTGAATGAAGTGGCAAGGTGATGGCTATTCATAGTCATCACATTTGATGGTGTAATCTGGGCTTCTGAGGACGCATTAAATAAACTAAGAAATGAAACATGTCCCAGTAATTTGCAAATGTGAATTCCCTGGAAATGAATTTTGAATTTATGTGAATATAAGTAGTAGTGATAACATTTTATTTGAAATAAAGAAAACTTTAGATGTTTTAAGTGGTTTCAGTGTGACAAAAGAGAACAGGTTTTGAAATGATGTTTCTGAGTCCCTGTTATTGGAATGCATTGTTGGATAGGAAATTAAATAAAGGCGTAGTAAACAGTTTTCATACTTTTAACTGAATATGAGAAAAAGGAGCGTAAGATATGACCAAATTAACCATATTGAAAGAATGAAAGATAAAAATCTATATATGAAGCAAATATAAGAGCATAGGATTAATTAAAAGTTAGGATTAATGCTGTAAATTGTTATATATATACAGTAGAACTTGGTTGTAACATCATCAAAGGGACCTAAAAATAGTGTCGTTATAAACGAATGTCGTTTTAACCGAAATGGGCACTTCCACAGTAGCCTTATGTTAGTCACGTAAAAATCTACCAAAAACCGAGTTAAAATGTTGCATTTTTTAGTGAAATACGTAGTTAAGTACAGACTAACGTAACATTAACGTGGAATTGCCCAAATGTGTAATATCAAAGACATATTACAGCGCTTTTCACTGACAATACACACCGCACTAATACTGTATATTAAAGGTAGGCCTACTCACCAAATTACAGTAGATTACATCAATTGTTGTGCCTTACTGTACCTAGATACGAGTACAGTAATCAGTTATCTTCATCTGTTTCCTGTTACTTGCCCAATACACACTTTCTAAATTACGTNGTTTAGAGTATGAAGATTTTGCTAAGTTGGGAAAACAATATTTCCTAGACAGCTGTCTTTAAATATGAGAGAGAGGGTTGTTATGATGTGAAAGAAATTAAATTCTTTGTCTTTAAGAACCATTCAGTATCTTTCATTTAATTTTTGTTCACTGCTATGTAATTTTATTGTCTATTCACACATATCTTGTCAACAAATGTGACATTTATATCAATTCCTATGGTTGGATTTTCTTTACAGACATTACTAAAAGGTAATGCAGAATGGAAAAATCGACGGAACTTTCTGTCTAGGCAGCAGACATTTATAGACAAACTTGTGCGACTTGTCAAAACTGTTGCTCGAGAAAGTGGTAACAGGAAAAAGAAGGTTTGTTGACTGTTTGTTATTAGAGGCAGATCATTCAGTAACATTACACAGAATGAATACATTGCACTGAAACCCTGTGGTAGTTCTATTTATCATTAAAATTATATGCACTGGTAGGTCCAATATAAATATTAGTGAAAATTTATTACTTCGGCCTTTTGATTGCATATAAATTTTATTGTTATATCTTGGTTCTGTTTGAAATATATTATCCAGATCATGTTATTGAACAAATGAAATAACGTTATCCTGAACATTACTTGTACTGTAGAAAATAAACTGGTAAGCAGTGAGTTTTTTGTTTGTTTGTTTTAGACTGAACGGCTACAGGCCCTACTTGGCGATCCAGAAGCATTCAAGATTAATTTTGCATCATTTGAACCTCTACCATTTCCACTTGATCCTGAGGTGCATATAAAAGGAATAATTCCAGAAAAGTAAGTAGATTGAAGGTCTGAGGATAATGACGCTGGGATGTACAGGTAAACTGAGGGGAGTTGGTCTTGAACAAGGCATAGGTATAAAATTACACACAATCTTATGAATAAAATAGAAACAGAATAATTTAAAAATAGATTATCCTTTTGCATCTTGCAATAGAACCCAAAAGTTTAACACCCACTTCTCCAAAACCTTCTGTAGGAACCTATCTTGAAACAGTTCAGTACAGCTCAAATCCAACAACCAATTTTTCTAAAATCCATTTTAATATTATTCTCCCATCTACATGTCTGTCAAATAGTCTCTTTTCATGAGGTGTTTCAGCCAAAGTTGTGTACTTTTTTTTTGTCCACCATGCATGATGTATCATCTCAGTCTTCATGGCTTAAGCACTCTAACAATACTAGATAAATATTTTTTTTTTTTTGTTTTGCAAGTTTATGCATTTCCAGATCAACATATTCTCCATCTAACACCCACCCAATTATTGCATTTTTCACTTTCAGACAATTGTAAAGGAATCCACATCTGAAGTGAGTTCTTGTAAGGAGAGATTGTAGGATTGAAAAGCACATTTTTCTTTAATAAAAACGTTTTGCCTTAATTGTCAAGTGAAACATTCTTTCACAACTTAAAGATATAAGGGCATTCAATGATCAAGGAAATCTGGCAGCAGCATGGATTGGATACAACATTTCTCACAGATTGCTGCTGTAACTGCCGATAGCGGAATGAGCCGTTATTGCTGATAAACGCGCACACTCGCTAGTGTAGAGTGGATAGAATGTTTCTTCGTGACTAGTGTGCCCTTCCCTGCTAGCGAGAGTGCAGTTGTGTTGCTGATTCCTTCACGTCAGTTACTGTACATGTACACATTTAGAGGAATACTGTAAAAAGATAACACAAACTTACCGTGCTTCATAACAGGTGCTGAAAGTGACTCCCTTCTGCTTGCAAACATGCCTCACATCGCACAAATAAATTATGCGACACTTTCTGAAGTCGATCCATGGTAATTGAACCAGTTACGCATGTTATTGCAGTCTACAGATCTTCAGCGGTGCGAGGATTATTCTTGTAGCCTTTTCCCTTTAAGTTTCCCAGAGATAAAAATCGCAAAAACAGATCTGGGTACCTGGGAGGCCGCAGTCCCCTGCTGATTATTCTGTTTTCAAAAACTTCGCATATTGCGACCATGGTTGCGTTAGCTGTATGTGCTGTAGCCATGTCTTACTGAAAATACCCATATTATCTTTCTTCAGCAGTCAGTTGATTGAAGGACGGATTCAGTATGTCATTAATGTAGTGGTCAGAGTTCATGGTTTCATGGAAAAATAAAGGGCCAATGATTCACCGTGGGCTTACAGCACACCACACCCCCAACTTTTCACTATGTAATGGTCCTTGCTGTATAGGGTGAGGATTTTCACCACTCATATTCTTACAATTTGTGCATTGACATGACCACTAACGTTAAACCACGCTTCATCAGTTACGAACAGAAGCTGTGAATCCACAATTCCATCGTGCACGTTTTGCAGCAGGCAGTTGCAAAAACGAATTCTTGCTGCATAATCTGGTTGTTGCAGCTCATGCACAACTGCTATTTTATATGAAACACCGGTTTTCTGTCATAAGCATCTTAACGATTTGTGAGGACTGATCTGTAGTCGTGCATTAATATCCTGAAACTTTTCTTCTATCAGCGCAATCCTCCTCGATTGCTTTATGTCACACACTGAACCTGTGGCCCGCCACTTTTTCACAAGCTTGGATACACATGACTGTTGGAACTGATGAGTCAGGATATTTATGACTAAACTTACAGATATGTTTTCTGTAAGTTTTTTCCCTTGCAAGAGTTTCAGCAGTAAACACGCCGTTCAATAGTGAACTTCATTTCAGTGTAAATGTCAACCGCCTATCGGTACCTCTGACACAGACTGACCATTATTGCGACTTACTGCATTGACAAGATCAGACGGTGCACTTTTATCAGCACTGAAGACTCATTCTGCTATCGGCAGCTAGTTGCAGCAGTCTGTGAGAAATGTTGTGTCTGCTCTACACTGCTGCCAGGTTTCCTTGATCATTGAACACTCTTTAATACAGGTATACATTGAGTCACCATTTACTGTTCCATTATTACAGGGGTTTTTTGCTTTGTTTCAGTTTCAGTTGTTCACACCAAATAATAACAGTGTTAAATTTCCTTTGTTTTGAAGAAGATTCTTAAATCAGAATTTTAGTATCCTGTTATTTTATTGCATAATGAGGAGCTTTGTGATTCATATTGCTCACAGAATGCTAGTTGGATGATCAGGTCAAGGAGGATAAGATTGTCAGGGAATGTTGCATGCTTGAGTTAGTGAGAAAATATGAAAGGAGGAGACTACTTGAGAGACCTTGTCATACTTGTATGTTGGAGGATGATATTGTCCCATGTCACAGTGACTAAAGGTGGGAATACACGAGTGCACTGCTGCTGTAATGCAACATAGATCGAACGGGATTCACGACTTATTCACTCATGTGTACGTGACTTTGAACATGTGCAACGCACGCCTCAAATGCCATGCAACGATCCGGTCCTGTCAGTTTTTCTGACGAACACAAAGGGATTCGTTGCCGCAGTGTGGTTGGGTTCGGTTGCCATTTGTCTCGTGAAGCGCACATGCCTCAAACATGGAGTGGTCAGAAGAAGATATTTTGGGGCTCATAGAGACATACAAATCATTCCCTGTACTGGGGAATCCTAGAGAAAATAATTATTATAAAAAGAACAAAAAAAGTGACGCTTCCTTGCCTTCCATGGTTGTGTGGATGGTGAAGACAGAATGGAACTGAGGTGCTCATGGCTTGCGTGCCCCATTCAGATGGTTCATTGTGTGCGCGTCACTTGTTCGAGTTGCACCAAATCACTCCGCACATCACTTGTAATTCCACAGTACAGTCGCGGCGCGTTCGTGTATTCCCACCTTAACATGGTTTGGATTGGTAATTGGATTTATTAACAACCTACAGGTTGTAATTGCAATTAATTATTACATTGTTACTTGATTTTCATACTACAAAGTTCCCCATGCTACTCTCTTCAGTCTACCTCGACTCATCTTCATGGATTTATAACACAGGAATCATAAAAGTCTCTCAAAATCACACACTCCCAATACCACTGCACTATAGCACACAATGTCTTCTAATCCCAAGTTAAATCCTCACAGGCTGACCTCCTGTATGCTTCTTTACTCCTAGTTCCATTTCTCTTTGTTTGCGTGTTTCCACTGCTACTGTTCTTTTGTAATTGCCTTGGCCTTACTTTGCATCTGAATTCACTTCTTTTATAAGCACTTTGCACAGACCATGCACAGAAAACACAGTTCTATTGTTGCCTAGTATAGGCCACACAGAGAACAAATCACATCATGTCTGTCTTGTCAGTCCATTGGTGCTCTGACTCTCGCCTGGTAGTGAGCTATAAACATAAGATCCAGTGGCAGACTTATATGAGCATGGTAATCATCCTTGAAATTTTATGAAAGGAAAGAATTTTTTTGACTGACAGAGTGGCTGTTATCTTATTAGAAGGGACCCTGCTCCCTGGAGTAAGTATGTTTATGTGTGTTCTTTTGAATATTTTATATACTATAGATACATACATTGTTATGTACACCTCTTCACTGATGCAATACAATCTTGATACTGATAACTTCATTAAATAACCCACAAATCCCACACCTTTTTATTGGATTGCAGGGCAACACTCTTCAAGTCAGCACTGATGCCATCGAAATTAACGTTCCTCACCACAGAAGATACAGAGTATGTAGCCATTTTCAAGCATGGAGATGATTTGAGACAAGACCAGCTCATTCTACAAATGATCACTTTAATGGACAAGCTTCTTCAAAAAGAAAAGCTAGACCTCAAACTCACACCTTACAGAGTCCTAGCTACCAGCACACGACACGGTAACTTTTTTTTGTAAGAAGTTAAAGAATAGGTCATCTTGATTATTCTATTACACATTTTGAGTAAGGCAATGAAGTGTTTTTGTCCTGTTTTTTTTACTCTAGATAAGTTTATGTAATCATCATTTATCCTTGTTTTCTCATATTTGAACTTTTGAATCGGTTGACTGATTTTCATGAAACTTCATATGAATGTTATGCCATTGAAGGTCCCTCCATCATATATTGTAATTTCCTTCAATCACTAATGTCAGCATGGATGCACGGGACTCTAATGTGGGATTGTCTGCACCACCGCTTAATTGAGATCTTGAAGTGTTGTATGGTAATAGATCTCAGAAAAATACGAAACTTTTGTTAAGAACTCGTGTGTGCATGCACACATGAGCATGGATGTGGGTGTAAAATGTAAAATAAGAACATGGCCATCGTGCAAACATTTCCTTTCATTTTTTGTTTGATGACGATAACTAATGAGCTACTTTAGCTAGCCACGTAAACTTTGATGCAGAGCTTGATTATGGTTATACTTGCATATCACATATAAAATATTATATGTGACTCAGCAGTTTCGAACATGGAAATAGTATTGTCATGTGTATTAGTGATTATAGGTGGGATTTGGATTGGTAATTGGATTTATTGATGACTTATAGGTCATAACTACAAATAATTATTACACTCTTCCTGATTTACACACTCCAGATCACTCCACACTGATCTTCTCAGTCTATTTCCAATAGTTTTCACTGTGTTTCCTGGCAATGGATTTATAACACAGGAACTATAAAAGTTTCACTAAGTTACACACTCCCAATATCACTGTACTACAGCACGTGTAAAGTCACATACTAAATCTTCTCAGGCTTACTTCTAATTCTTCTTCTACTACTAACTTCCTGTGATTATGTCATACTGACAGCTCCCTGAACCGAGCTATGCTGTATCTTATATCATCTCAGCATGCACCACGCACAGAAAACAGCCTCTGTATTGTTGTGTGATGTCAACACCTATGTGGAAATGTGTACCGAGCAGTTGCCTACAAATGGGTAGTATAACCCTGTTGTTCTATTGTGTGTGTGTATAACTTAGCAACAGCTGTTTCTGGGGCTTGAAATTTCTTCCATGGAGCAAATATGCCACAATATGAAACTTTGAAATTAAAATAACATGTTCTTTACAAAAATAAAATAAGACCAATTGCATAACAATAGTGACAGGTCTGTGGGACTAGAAATCTATACAATAGCAATCTGCAGTATCAGCCACTTTGCAAAACAAATGATGTATGTCCAGTTATGGTTCATGAGTACTGAATATGTTACAGAAATAATATTCATTTCATGTTTCAAGTCACCTTTGTATTTTTAGGTTTTCTTCAGTACATTGAATCAACACCAGTAGCAGAAGTTCTTGCAACTGAGGGTAGCATACAGAACTTCTTCAGGAAACATCACCCATCAGAGACTGGGCCATTTGGCATTGCACCAGATGTTATGGAAACCTACACTAGCAGTTGTGGTAGGTTGCATTAAATAGTACTGGCTATATGGACATGTATTTGCATTTTGATTAGTTATTATGCCAGTGCCTTACTTTCAGTTTTGTCCAAATTGATAGTTAAAAGGAGAGGTAAAGAACTTCAGCTGCTGTATTTTTGTTAATTAGGAAATATTCCTGTCAAAAGTAACAATATATTCATGTTAAACTGCTGACAGCTGTATTTGTAACTGTATATTCAATTGTCATGGTCAGTTGCAATTTAAAAGTGTATGATTCCATTCTGATTGTATTTTCTTCAGAGATTAGTGTGAGTAATGTGTGTCCAGATGCTTGCAAGGTTTGTCTGTTGTCTGAAACACTGAAAATATGAAAACTTTTTGTGTGTGTGTTTTGTATGCTTTGAAGATGTGATGCTGTGAATTAAATGTAGCAGTTTCATTACATGTAAAAAGAGAAAGTCAACATGGTGATGGAAGTAAAGTTAACAGTCAGTATGTACACCCCAATCTGTAGTATAGTCACTTTGCAGCGGAAGAAAATTTTCATACTTTTGTCGATAATTTAGCATGTTTGATTTCCTGGTCAAAGAAATAGGCCTAATTTAACACTTTTGCTCCAACATCCAGTTGGCAGTCAGGTAAATCTTCCCATACTTATCTTACCTAGGTCAGATAGCAACGCATGCAAACATTTCTCATTCAATGATTATATAGCATAGTTGGTCACTGTATATAGATGGCATATGCATCAATATTTCTTTTGCCTCGAATATCAGTTCTGTACTTCTGCAATTCTGTAGGCAATTGCTGCATTCATTTTGCCATGGAAGAGGGAATTTAAGAAATTTTAGCCATATTCATTAAAATTCTTGACAAAACTGAGAATACACAAAAAAACAAAACAAACTCTGTGGTTTTAGTCTGCAAGCGAACTGTAGTGACCGAGCAACTGCCCACTTGTCGGTGAAGTTAGTGCCAACTTTTGTGGATAGAGGGTGTCATGTGGTCAGCGCAGTGAATCCCCGTGGTGGTTAATTTCGGTTTTCTAGACCGGAGCCGCTATTTCCTTGAAATAGCTCCTCACTTATCATCATGAGGCTGAGTGGAACCCATTCCAGACTCATTACTTCTCGGAAAAAAATCTTGTAGCGCCGGGAATCGAACCCAGATCTCTGGATCTGTTGCCAGGAACTCTGGCCACTAGATGACAGAAGCGGTCACTGAGAGTACACAGACTTAGAAAATGCATTTTATCATTCACTTCATAATATTTCATCTTATATCGCGAGAGAATACTGTAAATAAATGATTGAATATGAAAAATTCTAATATGTTCATACTGATTTGTTCTGTTTTGAATGGGAGCAAAAATTGATCTGTATGTCTGAGTCTCTGACAAAGGAAGACTCTCTGAAAACAGAGCGATGAGAATATTTGGACATAAGAGAAATTAATAGGAGAGCAATAGAAATTACGTAGGAAGAGTGTTCATGATTTATGCTGCTATCATTAGGGTTGTTAAATCAATAACATTAAAATAGGCTGTTAAGATTTGTAGATTAATCTTAGGGAAATTGGTTGTAATGATATGATATGGATTGAATTGGATCAGGGTCAGCTTGGGCCAGTAGCTTGCCCAAATATTGACTGTGATGAACGTTTGGATTGTGACAGCCAGGGGATTTCTTGAACACCTGCAGGTAACAATCAAGTTCCTTCCGTCAAATGTGACACTTTTATAAGTTTNCAGGTAATATTTCCTTTCAGGGTACTTGTGCTGTATATCAAAGTAATGGTTCCAGAATTCTGCTAATACTTGCACTTTCTATGATTTTCTTTTTAGCTGGATACAGTGTTATCACGTACTTGCTGGGAGTTGGTGACAGACATTTAGACAACTTACTTCTCACAACATCTGGGAAACTGTTCCATGTTGACTTTGGTTATATATTGGGTCGAGATCCGAAACCTCTACCACCACCCATGAAACTGAGCAAGGAGATGGTTGAAGCAATGGGTGGAATCAACTCAGAATATTACTACAAGTTCCGCAAGCAGTGCTATACAGCCTTCCTTCATTTGCGCAGGTTAGTGAAGTCAGGAATACTAATGCTTTGAATGTCCATGTGAGTGTGAATTAAAACTGGATATTAAAAGAAATATTGAGTATGGATTTTTATTTGGAGCAGGAGAACGGTGAACATTGTAGTGTAGAGGTTAGCAATCCTGCATAATATTTTGGAGGTCAGTGGTTTACATCTTAGTCTGGTAATCAGCTGTTTGACTGGGGATTACATTATTCTCTTCAGATCATCTAGAGCAGCCGTATCAAACATGCGGCCCCCGTAGCCACACAGTGCGGCCCCTCAACTTTTAGAGCTAATTGATCTTAAAATCAATATTACAATTTTAGTAGAAATATTTTTTGTAAAGACAATTTTCCAACAGACCAGAAGACAAGAAGTCTCATGCAGACATAAATTAGCAGGCTGCAGGAAAAGTGATTCTGAGAATTGCAGAAGGGTTTGTCCAACGGTTTGTAAAGTTCGTGAAGGACAAACTATTTTGTTTCAGAAGGTTAATGCGCTAAAATCCCCACAGCCTCACCACCCCAAGTATTTCTAAGAATCCCTTTTAGAGGCATAGTAAGAATGCAAGGAGGGTGGCAACTGACAGACAAGTGCAAGAGATTTCTACCTTCAAAACTAGCTTGCAACCCCCAGCCATTGTCTAATGGGCTGCTAGCAAACTTTCAGTTTTATGACCATTGAGACAAGATACACCTTCCTACTAGTCCGTTAGTCTCTTGTACATTGTCATTCAGTTCATTTTCACACAGCGATAGGTGCTGATGTTACATTGTGATGAACGTATAAAGGTTATAATTAAACATTAAATTATCAACTATGAGTTTTCTTGTATATGTACAGTAACTTTTAAAGGGCAATGTCGCTTTCAAAAATTCAAGTGGCAAAAAAAGAACTACTGAAAATGAGCGCCATGTTTTTCAAGAAAAATGGGAAATCGCTTCTTTCTGTTGTGAAATAGAAGGTAAAATTACATGTTTGATTTGTGGGCAAAATATAAGTGTTCCACTTTAGGTAATTAGATTGAAATTATTCCTAAATAATAAATAGAATTAAATTTCCTTGTATCAAAATCGAATGTATATTTCTATTTTGAAGTGCGGCCCTGGACTATTATTTATAGGGCTGAGGTGGCCCTCTGTACAAGTTGAGTTTGACATGCCTGATCTAGAGGAATGCTACAATAATACTTCAAAATAGATCATCACCTCGTTCACACTCATTTGACCATTGGCATCAGAAATGTATTCATTTGACTTAAGAAGCATTTTTAAATAAACTAAGAAAGCAATAGGAGCTGGGATAGCGTAGTCTGTGAAGCGACTGGCTATGGGTTGGTTGACCGAGGGATCAGAGTTCAAGTCCAGGTAGGGTCAAGAATTCTCTCTTCATGTCATCCAGACTGGCTCTGGGGCCCACCTAGCCTCCCATCCAGTTGGTACTGGGTGGGGCGGGGGTGCTGTTTCCCCTAGGATAAAGGGGCAGAGACGTGGAGCTGACCACTCACCTCCAGCTAGTGCTGAGATCAACAAAATGTGGATCTATACATCCACTCCCCCATACACCTTCATGGCATACTGCTTAACTGGTCATGGACAGGAACAGCTTTACCTTTTACCTTACTAAGAAAGCAATTTTGATACATGTTGCGGTCTTCAGGTTTGTAACACCATGTAATCTGCTATGTGAGTACCAGTCTTTCCAATGAACATCTTCACCTGAAGATGTCTCTCAAACCCAAATAGGAGATTAAGAATTCAACGTGAAGATACACTTCTTAGACTGAGAGGTGTGTTTTGGTATCCATCGCTTGGCCATTATGATCTTCTGGTGCTGTCATGTTGAAGTTAGTAGTGACACTTCTGTGTATCCATTGCTCATTCTAATATATTAATCGATATTCTTTTGCAAGAGGTGAAGAATTAAATGAATTCTGAAATTTTTAGTGTATGTCAAATCCACTGGACAAATAACCGCCCATTGAAATGCACAAATTCAGACCTGCTATGAAAAAAATAATTACATAATTGAAAGTCTGATATGTTACCTGTTATGTAAGGTTTAATTCTGGTATCAAATCTGAGACCTTCAGGTTTTGGAAAGTTCAGAAAAAAATGTCACTAGCAACTTGTGGCTCATGTTTATCATCTATCATCATCAGTAAAGACTGATTGTGGTGAGGATTTTTCAAGACTGTGAATATAGTGCATGAAACTATTCATTGGTTTGTCGGCAGAATAATTTATTACGGGATTTTGAATATGGTGCATGTATTCATAGAAATGATGTTTAATGGGGTCACACTATTTTACACGACTTAACAAATCTTCATTGTTTCAGAAATTCAAATCTGATGTTAAACCTGTTCTCCCTTATGGTGGATGCAAGTGTGCCTGACATTGCGCTGGAACCAGACAAAGCAGTAAAGAAGGTTCAGGACAAATTGAGACTAGATTTGGAAGAGGAGGAAGCAGTCAGCTATATGCATGCAATACTGGATGTATCTGTAACCGCTGTAATGGCTGTTCTTGTTGAGCAGCTGCATAAGTTTGCTCAGTACTGGAGGAAGTAACCATACCACATCCTTGTTTGGAGAGTAAGTATTATCTGCAGTACAGATTACACAATAAGACTTCATTGCAACTATATTAATTGTGGAAATGTGCTGGAAAAATATTGTATACGTTGTAGGATTTGAATGCGGACATGAAGGCTATATATTCCTTTGAAACATCTACCAGAATGCACAGCATCGTATCCCAGAAGGTGGTACACTTCATAGTCCATGAGAACCTCTTAAAAATAAAAGATAAAGCTATCCCTGTAACAGGCCATGAAGGCCCATAGGGTTATGAGATGTCAACGCTCCCACATCTAGACAGTCAGCTGACAGATGATGGCAAGGTTTTCAGCCTTACATGCTGACCGCCCTTTAACCCCTGTACTTATTTCTGTTAAAGGCTGAGTCAACCCCAAGGCCATAATGCAGCTGGAAGGATTAGGTAAATTGAAAAAATCCAATAAACTCGTCAGGAATCGAACCCGCTATTTTCTGGCCTGTAGCATAGTGCCTAAGCCAACTATGCTACCCCGTGCCCCCTCTCTTAAAAAAATAAGAAAAGGAAAAGGCTAAACCTTTCACAACATCAGTAACTTTCAGCCATGATCATTTCACACAGCAGAATTTCTGACTTAAATTCTGAATGTGTTAGCTAGTGTAAAGAAGAGAATTTGGTTAAGGGTTCTCATACAGTGGCTTTCATTACTGAAGGCCTATGTCTAAAAGTTAGCGTGGCATCCGCCATTGGACAGTCATGTTAATTTTTATAAGCATCTAAACATCAAAATTTTATGTATCTACAGTGAAACCCCAATTTTACACTTTTAACTGGAGTGCCTGACATAAATGTAAAATTGAAGGAAGTTTAAAATTATGGAAGTGAGAATGATGTAACATGAAGGAAATTTGGCTTTTGTTGTACTGGAACTTTGGAAGATCATTTAGGAAAACGTGTGATACACCCAGGTTAGTACATCCTTCACTTTACTTCGAGTGAGGGTTGTCTGGTCTGTTTTGGATAATTTGTGGGCTGATTCTCAGTAGTGTTCCAGTATGCCATCCCTTGCTGAAGGAGGCTTCTGTTGAGCCCAGTTGCATCTGTGGTCAGTATAATCTTTACATTCCAGACGTCCAGCCTCTGTTTCTTGTATAATCAGATGTATGTCTTCATTGCTCAGCTGCATCCTCAGGGTGGCTGGGTACCCAGCTGTCTGGGGCTACATCCGAGATAGCTTGCACCTGTTTGCTATCTGTCTATGCCTCGACTCTTTGGCAGAGTACACTTTTCCCAGCACCATCTTTGGGAAAGAACATTGACGGTGGTCAGAAGTAAAGTTGTATTTTGGGAGGTGCTGGATCCAGTGAGTCGTGTGTCCCTCCACATTTTTAAAACTTGTGAGTGAGATTAGTTCTGTGTGGTTGGTGTCCAGGTTATCGATGTGTTCCAGTGTCCACCTGATTGCCATTAGCTCCCACTCGGTGAAACAGTAATTTCTCTCTGCCTTGTTCAGCATATAACAATTGTAGGCTATTCCCCACTTGTGGCCATTCCGTACCTGAGACTGTAGCCCTCCAGTTCTGATGTTACTTGCGTCTGTTTCTGTTATGAACTTCTATCATGTTTTGTGGGAAACCAAGGAGGGCCTACTTTAGTGAATGGAAAGCGTTTTTTACTGGGGGCCACTGAAAGGCTTAATTCAACTCTTTGAGTTTGGCCATTGGCTTTGCAGTGTTGGCAAAGCTGGAGATAAACTGCCTGTAAAAGGTAAATAGGCCCAGGAATTCCCTTAGTTCATGTTTGTTCCTCATTGTCATCCATTCCCTTGTGACCTTCAGTTTCTTGGTGTCTGATTACTTTCTTTGGTGAATCATTGTGGCCAGTCACAATGATTTCATGTAGGTGCACTTGGCATGGCTTGTGAGGTCCCTTGAGATGGCTTCTATCAGCGGCTCAAACATTGCTGGAGCATTGCAAAGGCCATAGGGCATGAGCATGAATTGCCACAACACTTGACCCATTGAGAATACCATCTTTTTCTTGTTGTCAGGGTGTAGTGCCACCTATTAGTAACCTCTTCTGGTCCAGAGTGGATCTGAAGTGTCGTCAATCCTAGGTGGTGGTTAAGTGTTTCTTTGTAATGTCACTCAGCTTCCTGTAGTCAATACAGAAATGGAAGGCTCTATTTTTCTTCCAGACAAGAATGATGGGAGATGACCAGGGGCTGTTTGACTCTTGTATAACCCCTTGCCATTGCATGTCCTTGAGTATTTAGCCCACTTATGAGTGTTGATCCCTGTGGGATCCATGACCATATTTTTTTTTCTCATGACTTACTGAGTCGTGGGACTCACCCCTAAGTGACTCAGTTGGTCAGTCAGCCAGTCCATTGGTTGGTTGGTTGGTCAGGTGGGCGGGTGGCAAAATTGCTATTGGTTCTTGCCAGCACAGTCATTCTGGGTTCATTCCAGTCCAGTCCAGTAAATTGCTGCTGGTCCTAGCCAGCACATTCATTCTTGGTTTCAGGCCCTGTTGGGACCCATGAACATATTTTTGTTCTTTTCAGACTTTGGGCCTCTTTTGTGAAGAGGAGAGGTCTGACTACTGCTCGTCACTCCCCCTTTACTGGGGAGTGACTCTCCTGGTACTCTCACTCACTCACTCACTCACTCATTCACTCACTCACTCACTCTGAAATTTCAGTAAATGCCGAGGATCCTGTTTACCGAGCAACAGCAGTCTCTCCTGGTTCCACTAGTCTGGCTTTTAGCTGTTGTCACAATATATATAAAAGGATAATGTGAATGTTTATTAATGTATTTTGTCTTCAGTAATGAGAAGGTTACATGCAGGTCATTATAATGTTTCCTTTCTGTCTTTTATTTCAGCCCTCTGCTTATTCTTCAGCCTCTTGTTGAAAGGCTGAAATTTTCTTTCCATTGAAGATTGAAGTAGAACTTAAGCAAGACTTACATTGTGGTACAAATATAAAGATTATGCTGCTCATTGTGCATCTATTGTTTTTTGTGACACGTGCAGAAGTGAATGTGTTTGTGCAGAATGTGATTTGTGTGAATTGTTGTAAAAATATATTATAAATTATAAGAGGTGTGAGGCAGTTACAGGACAGTTCCTGTCATAGAGATTTTTATATTGAAATGTGGTAATACTAACATCCTTCAGTGTATATAATTTAAAATGTAATACAGTATTACTCTTAGTTTAAATAATGTGTAATGAGGGATGCCATCCATAAGAAAAAGGCTGAAGGAAGAATATATTTTGTTTTGTAAAATACAATAGTGAATACGTTTTTTCAGAACTATTTTATGAAAACAGATGACATATAGAGCAGAATGTCTTGAGTTACAAAATTGTCCACAGTATGGGATTGAGCCTAGTTGAACTTCATCTAATGTTCCTGTTACAGAAAACAGTGTTCTGTTTATACCTGTTTTTAAATTAAGTCTGTGCTTGTACTGTTTAGTAGGCACACAATTGCGGCTTTATTTTGTTTATATCCTAAGTTATATAACAGTGCTTTCTCAACTGTATAGGTTATGTAGAGTTGACAGACTATCTAGGAAGGGGAAGGAAGTACCCAGTACTGTACTGAGTTTGCAGAAAGATGTTCCATCAGTCTCTCCACTCCACATCTTCCTTTAGCTGTTGTACTATTCTCTGCAACATACTTCCCTATATTCCATTTCAGTTGCTTAACCTTTTTCTTCACATAAATTATTTTATTGATAACCTTTGCTAGCAGCAAGCACTTAGAGCTTATTGACATAGGTCAGAGGAAGGCAGGAGGAGAGTACAGCATCAGGCAGAGATGGGAAAGCCTCAAACACCATCCCTGTTATCTGTATAACTTTTTTCCATGGCCTCAGTACTAACTTCCATTTTTATATAGCATGTCAGCTACTTTACTAGCAATTTCATAATTTAAGCTTTCTCATTTATTAGAGGAGAAAACTTCTGTTGGAGTTTCATCATTACAAGACAATTTAAAGCATGCAATGTGGTCTATACACTGGTTATGTGCACTGCACATTTGAATAGTACAATCTTAACAGGAAGAAAAGAACAGAAGAAGTGGCAAATATTTTTGATCTTAAAGCAGAATATATCCCATATTTTCCAACAGCCTTTGGGGAAGGGGGGAGACAATGTTTTGAAAGCAGGCCCAATTTCTGACTCCAGTTAAAAGAGCAAAACAACTGTGTTGGGTCCATAAGATAAAATTAATCTCTATCACAGTACCAAGGTAGATGGAAATTAGTTTGATTTTTTGGATTTAATGTACTAAAACATTTAAATTAATGGTTCTGATAGTGCCAGGATAGAATGACACATCCTTTGAATGGGGCTTCTCCCTGAAATCTAACAAAGCAGTAAAAGTTATATATAAACTGTTTAGTTACACCTCTGATGTTTTTCATAAGTATAGATATAATGTAAAATATAATAATTTTGGGAAATTTCAGTAAACTCAGGTATTTCTTGTAAAATAAAGTGATGTCATATATTTAAATACTTTGCATATTTTTGGTAACTCCCCCCCCTCACAATTCATGGCTCTGGGCCTCACAGTGACCAGTGCATTGCCCGCTGCAAAGTGCGTATGAATTTCACCGATGAATTAGCATGCCTAATGGCCAGTAACGTTTGGAATGAATCGATTGACAGTATTATGTTTCATGGCAAGCAGTGCACTTCAGCAGTAGGCAGCAGTTATCAGCTCCATTAGCCAGTTACAGTTGGTGATCAGTGTAGTATGTTATGGTGCAGTATGCTTCAGTGCAATATGTATTTCTGTATGACACATATGTGATATACAGATCTGCTAGAAAGTGTGGCAAAAATTCCGTGATGAAGTGGTTCCCAGCAGACAATTCATAATTTGGTGAATAAACTTAGAACAATGGGACTCTTCATAGACAAGGAACAAAAATATAAGTGCTTAGTGTTTACTGCTGAGAAGTTTGATGAAGACTTGAAGATGCTGTTAGAAAATCACTGAAACATCTAGCTCAAGAGACTGGAGTGTCAGGGTCTAGTGCAAGAACAGCAACACAATTATTGAAGTTTAGACCCAGTAGAGTAAGTGGAACCTCGCTTAATGAGCACCTCTCATAACAAGTAATTCACATAACGAGCAAAACAAATTGTAGAATAATGACTCGCTTAATGAGCGACGTTTCACATAACGAGTGACAAGAGGGGAAGTCCCGGTTTGTGCGCTTGCTACATCAGTCTGTGTTTAGCACTCGTTCCGCTAGCATCTTAGTGTCGCTTGTGATCACACATTTTTCTAAACTTAAGTTCAGACATACTATTTGTGTTTTTTTTTTGTGCAAAGTTTAATAACCCATGCAAAAATGTCCCCGAAGAAAAAGCTGCAAAAAGACAGCCACAAGAGAATAAAAATAACCGTAGAAATGAAACGTAAAGTCATTGAAAAGCGAGAACGAGGTGTGAGCATGTCTGATCTAGCATGCACATACAATCGGTCTACAGCAATGATTTGCACTATCCTCAAGAACAAGGGCAAGATTAAGGAGATAGATGCTTCACAGGGAGCGACAAGAATATCTACGAAACGATTACATATTCTCGACGATGTTGAAAGGTTGCTCCTCATATAGATAAACGAAAAGCAATTGCAAGGCGACACTATTAACGAGAACATCATTTGTGAGAAGGCAAAAGTGATTTTCGCCGACCTCGTTAAGAAGACGTCCAGTTCATCAACGGCTGAAGAAGCAGCATTTAAGGGAAGCCGTGGGTGGTTCGAGAAGTTTAAGAGAAGAACTGGCATCCACAGCGTTGTAAGGCACGGTGAAGCAGCAAGCTCCGACACAAAGGCAGCAGAGAACTTCATCGGCGACTTCAAGAAGCCCGTAGATTCTGAGGGTTACCTGCCGCAACAGGTTTTAATTGTGACGAGACGGGTCTCTTCTGGAAAAAGATGCCGAAGCGAACCTATATAACAGCAGAGGATAATGCATTGCCTGGCCATAAGCCAATGAAAGACCATCTCACGCTGCTATTTTGTGCCAATGCAAGCGGCAATTTGAAAATTAAACTGCTGCTTGTTTACCATTCAGAAACTCCACGAGCCTTCAAGAAGTGTAAAGTCCAGAAGAGCAGGCTAAATGTGATATGGAGGTCCAACAACAAGGCTTGGGTGACACGTGACCTTTTTACTGATTGGATCAATGAGGTGTTTGGTCCTTCTGTGAAAAAATATTTGCCTGAGATGAATCTGCCACTCCATGTCTTGCTTGTTATGGACAACACTCCTGCCCATCCTCCAGACCTACAAGATGACCTCCTTGAAGAATTCAAATTCATCAAGATCCAGTTTCTGCCTCCCAACACCACTCCGTTACTCCAGCCTGTGGACCAGCAGGTTATTTCTAACTTTAAGAAGCTGTACACTAAAGCACTCTTCAAGTGTTGTTTTGAGGCGACTGAAGGGACCAATCTCACTCTCAAAGAGTTTTGGAAATCTCAGTTCCACATCGTTGCCTGCCTCAAGATGATTGAAAAGGCGTGGGAACGGGTTACCAAGAGAACCCTCACTTCTGCTTGGAAGAAGCTTTGGCTGGAGAGCGTTGTCGAATGTGACTTTGAGGGGTTTGAGATAGTACCTGTGGAGCCTGTAGTCAACGAGATTGTGTCTTTGGGCAAGATCATGGGGCTGGAGGTGGATAACAATGATATTGAAGAGCTTGTGGAAGAGCACAGCCAACCACTGAAGAGCTTATGGAGTTGCATTGTGTTTCACAACAAGAAGTTGTGGAGGAGAGTTTGTCAGAGGAGGAGGAGGAGGTAACAGCAAAGCAACAATCTTCTGGCGCAATAAGAGAAATGCTGAAAGCATCAGAAACTGTTGGATCGTCCATTGAGAAGCATCACCCTAATAAGGCAGTGGCTATGCGTGCTACATATTTATTTAATGATAATGCTGTGTTGCATTTTCACCAAATTTTGAAACGTCGGCAGAAACAAATGTCTCTAGACAGCTTTCTAATAAAAAAGAATTAGATATGTATCATAAATAATAAACTAATTATTTCAGTTTTTTTTTCTGCAAATCAAATTTGCGTACCAGGTTGGTTCATTCCGCATAGAAGAAAAGATGAAGACGATTCACGCTCCTTAACAATGTATATATAATTTTCTTTGAATAAACATTATACATAAAATTTTTTGAGTATTTTTTTCAGCATGGAACACATTATTGTATTTTATATTAATTTATATGGGAAAAATTTTTTCGCTTAACGAGTGTTTCGCATTACGAGTAAGATTCTGGAATGAATTATGCTCGTTAAGCGAGGTTCCACTGTAATAATCCACACATGCCTTGCAGCTGAACAAACAAGCAGGGTTCATTTTTGCTGTTGGTTTCTGCATCTGTCGTCAAAGGTGAGATCCATCTGCAGTTGACAATCTTTTCTGATGAAACCTGGTTTCACTAGCAGAGATACGTAAATACACAAAATAATCATTACTGGAGTCCACAGAATGCACATCTAAGCCACAAAGTTCTGCTCCATCCAGTGAAAGTTGGTGTCTGGTGTCCTGTAAGTGTAAGAGGAATTGTTGTACCTTTGTTTTTTTAATGAAACAATTAATTGTGAAATATATCTATGTGCAGATCACAACTCTTGTGATCTTTGAATTGTATCTACTTCATTTTGATCATTGCCAATAGTCAGGCATGCTGACTCATCGGCCAAATTTGTATGCACCTTGCAGCAAGCAGTGCACTGGTTACTGTGAAGCATAGAGCCATGGAAATGGTCAACACAGTAAAAATCCTCCCTGTAGTAACTTTATGACCTGAAATGAAATAAATCCCTTGTGATGATTTCTATGACAGGACTCTACAGAACTGCAGGTGAAAGGAAGAGAACAAAGAGGTGAAGGATAATAGATTTTCTTAATTCACCATTCCCCAGGAATAAACAGTTAATGAAAAACTATAAAGTTCCCCCTGGAATGAATGTGAATGAGTGCCCTTCTGACAAAAGAATGCAGTTTAGGGTTGATTGAAAGGTTAAATTTATTATGATATGCTTTCCACATCTAGTAATATAGTAGTTGTACCAGTCAAGATGAAAACCTCTCCTAGTATTAGTAGTGGTGGCGGCATTGGCAGCTGTGCCTGCTGTATTAAGATGAGATCAGCAACAAGTGAGAATACTATTAATGCTAATTGAAGGTTAACAGCATTAGTGCCATTTGAATCTTGTTTTGGTTAATTCGAGGGTAAGTCAGAAATTATCCTCACTTTCTCCATAACACATCTTTAGGTTTGTCACACTGCCTCCTACGCATGCATTGTTAGAGTTGGTACTACTGTGGTCACGTGATCGAAGTTTTACCTTGCTCACATCATTTTCCTTGATGCTGTGACAGTGTAAACATGGCCGCTCTGCTAGCAGTGTGCACCAATGATTAACAAAGAATAGTGATCCGATTTCTCTGATTGGAAGGTGTGTCAGGGGCTGAAATTCATATGTGGGTTCATCACTATGAGCCAGAATCCAAAAGCCACAGTATGGCATGGGAACACCCGGGATCACAAACGAAGATGAAATTCAAGACTCAATCTTTTGTGGGAAAGGTGATGCTAACCATTTTTTGGGACTCAAAAAGGCCTATACTGAAAGACTACCTAGAAAAAGGGTGTACGATCAACAGTGCAAGATAGAGTGATTTGCTGGCCAACAATCTGAAGCCAGCAGTTTGCACCAAACGTCGAGGCCTACTGTCGAAGAAAGTGTTGTTGTTGCATGACAATAAACACTCACACAAGGACGGCCAGACCGTTGAAACCATTAACCATTTGTGTTTTGAGGTGCTGGAACACCCTACCTACAGCCCAGATCTCACCCTTTCCGACTATCATCTCTTTGGACCGCTCAAAGATGTTTTGCGAGGTTTTTGATTTTCTATGGACAAAGAAGTGGTGGAAGCGGTGCATAAATGGTTGCACAACCAACCGAAAACCTTCTTCGTGGAGGGAATACGCAAGCTTTTGGACCGCTGGACCAAGTGCATCGAAAAGGGGGGAGACTGTAGAAAAATGAAGTACTTCTTCAACCCCTGCTTTTGTATATATGGATTGGAAAAACAAGAGTTCGGATAATTTTTGACTTCCCTACATAGTTTCCTTTTTTTCTTTTAGCATCAAATTATGTTCATATTTGTAAGGGCCATTCATCTCTACCGTTCAACCTAAAGATAGTCTTGACAGGTTCATGGACACAGAATTGTGTGGACATATTCTGATACGGGAGAAATGGCACATGGTTTGGGATAAGGAAAGTGTGTGGAATGGAAGGGGGGGTTATAAGTGGTGTGACTGGTTGTTATTGCTGTTGTCATTAGGAAGTAATAGCTAAGCAGAAGAATGGATCTCAATATACGTAATAGAGCAATTAAAATGAGCTTTCAAATTGTTGAATAAATGCTTGTAATAATGGCTTTCCTAGGAAGGCATTAAGAAATCACATGTCATCTGGTGGTGTTGGGAAAAAAATGAAGCACCTGTTATGTTGAAATTCTCAGAAAAAAGATTCATAGGCTTGCAGAATTTGGTGTACCTTCACCAAGCAGAATTTTTAAAAGGAGTAAGAATGGTTCAGTATTGCAAAATGAAGGTAACCATACTTGTATTACAAAAATATTAGTTCTAAAGAAAATAACAGTAAGATTATTCCCAATAAAAGCAATGCAGTAATATAAATATAATTTCATAATACTGTACATACACTTTGCATTTACATCAGCCACACATACCCACTGCCATCTAGTGAGACAAGTATTAACCCAATATGATATATGATATAACTCTGTCCTAAGTGCAAACAATATATTATATGTCTTTGATCTTGCTCTCCTCTGCACTACATGTTTCGGCCCCAAACGGCTATCATCGGGTGCATACACTCACATAGCTGTTACACTGCACTTAGTTTAAAATTTAACATTTACAAACACAGGTCTTCCTGAATGTGGTTGCATTGCCAGACAGGTGCTTCTTGGCATCAATTGTGATGGAGGCAAGACATGCTTAACATCTGAAATGCTGCCATCAGCCAGTGTCTTCATATATTTCAAGGAGTGCAGTGTTAAAGAACAGCCTCTCACCTGTCCTTCTGAGAAGTTGGTGTGGAGACTGTTGGTACTGTTGTAACTCTAATGGAATCTATGTTAGAGGTGGCCCACTTGAATTCAATGGAGGAGCATATCACAGCTGCCATTGAGAGCATCATTGACTTTGAATGGATTAGGTGTACTGGCTGTTCACTTCACCACCAGCGAATAGTAGATGGTATTGTGAGATGTCTCACAAGAATATACAGGGGATGGACAAAAATATGGGAACACCTCGTGAAACGCATGCCTGAATTGAAGTGTTTATTTTAGTGACGTTTGTAGGTCACGCTGCCGTATCTGCACAACACCACTACCTGTACAACCTCCACAATACGTTGCAAGCTTCATTTGTTGTCGAGACAGTGTTCTGTGCAATTTTTTGTGCATCATGTCAGAGCTAACAAAATTCGAACGCGGGCAAATTGTTGGGGCCCATGTAGTGGGTACTTCCGTAACCAAGATAGCCGAGGTTTTTGGTGTTTTGTGAGGCACAGTATCCAAGATTGTGACTGCATACAGGAGGACTGAAAAAACAACATCCGATAAACACCAGCGTGGACGGAAATGTGTGTTGAGTGATTGGGACAGACGAACAGTGTGTAGGATTGTGATGAAAAATAAGAAGACTACATCTGCAAAAGTGACTGCTGAACTGAATGTCATGCTCACAAACCCTATCAGTACCAAAACAGTATGAAGGGTACTCCACAGGCAGGGTATTTCTGGACGAGCTGCAATTCCAAAGGCACTCATCAGTGATCAAACTGAGAGGAGAGTGTGATGCCGAAGTCATAAAACCTGGACTATGGAGCAATGGAATACGGTCATTTGGTCAGATGAGTCCACCTTCACACTGTTTCCGACTTCTAGCCGACTTACGTCTGGAGAACGCCATCCCAAGCCTATGATCCAGATTGTTCGCTGCCAAGAGTGAAACATGGCAGGGGTTGGATCATGGCATGAGCAGCCATACTGTGGTATTCTGTTGGACCCACCATTACCCTGCAAGGACATGTCACTGCCAATGACTATGTGACCATTTTGGGCGACCAGATCCATCCCATGGTGCAGACTTTGTTCTCCAATGGTGATGCTATTTACCAAGACGACAGTGCCCGTTTTCACACAGCTCACATCGTCCAGGACTGGTTTTCTGAGCACAAAGATGAAGTGTCACATCTGCCATGGCCCCCACAATCATCAGATATCAATATTATTGAGCCTTTATGGTCTGTTTTGAAGAGCAATCTGCATGTGCGCTATCTACCTCCATCATCGGTAACAGAACTTACCATGTTTTTCAGGAAGAATGGTACAAGATTCCTTTGCAAATCATACAGGACCTCTATTTATCCATTCCGAGGAGACTGCAAGCAGTTCTGCAAGCCAGAGGTTGTCCTACACAATATTAGTCACAGTAATGTGTTTTTGTTGCGTGTTTCCATATTTTTGTCCATCCCCTGTACATTCCTTGGTGGTGTAAGCGAAGAAACAGGTTAATGCCTGATGCAGCCAGGCTGAGGGCCACAGAGAGGAAGACTGAGATACTGACGCATCAGTAAGTCATTAGGAAAGTAGTGCTTCATTTTTGTCTTGTAAAGTCCTGCCCATACCAACCCTGGAAAGTGGCAGAGAGCAGTTATGGAATTACTGGAAGAATATGTGTGCCAACTGGTCACATGAGCATCATTAGATGTTTCATAAGTTTGAGAAAGTAACCCTGATGACAAGCAGTTTTAGTGCAGCTACGGCATTCATATGATAACATCGTCATCCACAGTTGGATTACATACAAGAATACTATTCTGAACTTGAGCTCTATCTCTTCCCTCATTTGCAAACATTTCATTCGTCTCAGTATATTAAAACTACACGGGGTCAGAGCTCATTCTGCCCATTATCTTCAAGTAATCATATTTCAATTGAGAATTCTATGAGAAATTGTTTTCCAACACACATGGTTCTTCTGTATGTGTAGGTAAGAATGAAGTGGCATTACTTTATAATTGACATGGAATGTTCAGGTTATCCGCTTCAGCAGGAAACACTGAGAAGCAGGATCAATATCAGGATTCAATGTGGTTAGGACGTTTTATATAATTTATTTACCTATTTTGTTTTTGGTATATTATGCTTTATTATTATGGGTACATTCCTTCTAATAATTTAACTATTTTATTATTTTTGTTGTTATTCTGTTTTATCATTATTGTGGGTGTATTCATTCTTAGTTTTCTCCATATTACTCTGTCCAGTACTGAACTGGTGAACATGAATATAAAATTTCCAATAATCATTGCATTTCCTTAAGATAGGTTATTAATTTTTCAAATAATCCTGTCCAGTACTGTAATGGAAGATGAATGTCAGATTTCCAGTATTCTGTAAGATATGTTATTAATTTTGCCCTGTAGTCCTCTCCAATACGGTAATGGAAGGAATATCAGATTTTCGGTATTTTGTAAAATATGTTATTAATTTTTGCCACATAATCCTGTCCAGTACTGCAGTGGAAAATGAATATCAGATTTCCAGTATTCTATAAGATATGTTATTATATTTGCCAATTATTCTTGTGCAGTACTGCAGTGGAACATGAATATCAGATTTCCAGTATTCTGTAAAATATGTTATAAAAGTAACAGGCATGGAGGCCCATAAGGTTGTGAGATGTTGAGGCTTCCAGATTTTCTAGACAGTTGCCTTATAGGTGGTGGTAAGGTTGTCAGCCTTACGCACAGGCCACCCTTTAGCCCCCCCCCCCCAAAAAAAAATGTTCCATGTATTAATTTCTGTTAGAGGCTAATCGACCCCAGGGCTATAGTGATGCTGGAAGGATTAGGTAAATTGAAAAAATCCACCTCTTTGGGAATCGATCCTGCCACCCTCCAGCTTGTATTATATTTGCCATTTATTCTTGTACAGTACTGAAGTGGAATATGAATACTATATTTCCAGTATTCTCAAACATATGTTACTAATTTTGCCAAATAATCCTGTCCAGTACTGTAGTGGAAGATGAATATCAGATTTCCAGTATTCTGTAAGATATGTTACTTTTTCCCATATAGGTTTCAGTATTCAATGTAATTCTTTAAGATATGTTGTAATTTTGCCATATAATCCTGTCCAGTACTGAACGTCATTCTAATGAAATTAATAATAAATGGAAATGTCAGCATTACTGCTTGCTAGATATGATTTATAATGGGTTAACATAATAAAAAGACCATGTTTACTGTGGCTTTCAAGTAGTTGTTACCAAAGGTGTGAGGTTAAATGGAAGTATGTGTGATGGAAACAGAATTTTCTTTCAAGTGTAGTATCTGTTCTTATCAGCTTAATGACTGAAAAGAACAGATACAACCGGCAATGCTATGCATAGGTATGCCTCTTAGGTCATATCTATTTTTTATTCTGTTTCTTTTTTTTTACTTTATTAATAAATTATTTTAGAATACAAGTGTTATCTAGTTTATAAGATATTACTATTAGATTAGTTTAATATATAAAGTGACTTCATTGCCCTTATTCTTAATCACGACATCTTCAGCTTTCCTAAACACAAGTATTGTATGTATGTTATGATTCACAATGTCAAATGCATTTGGGTAAGATGATGTTGGATTGATATAAATGAAATGTTATGACTTTACAGGCACTGCTGAGAAACTTTCTGCTGCAAAGGTTCTTACTCCGTTGTGTTGAACTGGGTTCAATATCACTTCACTCATATCCTTTGGAAGGGATATGAGTGAAGTGACATTGAACCAAGTCTAGAAAAAGAAAAAAAAAAAACGGCGTAAGAACCTCTGCAGCACAAGAGATATGGTTGCAAAATTATATATTGCTATTCATGTGAACTGGCGGTTCCGAAGGGCGAGGAGGGGAGGACGCATAGGATGGTATGGTAGCATTCTATTTTATTGATCATGCAGTCGGTGATGGTGGCCATCTTTTATTTAGTCAGGTGATGTCTGTGTAGAGATGGCAGTAGTAATGCCACGTGACGTCACCGCGGCCCTGTTGGCCACAATCAACGAAGAGTTTCCGAGGTTCGGGCCAAGGTTATGCAGGTTATGCTCGTGCACAATGCATCATAATACATTTAAACACTGCAACACTTTCTCTGTGAACTGACGATTACAGGCAGATGACAGAACATTTTATGGTATAGGTGAGAATTTTGATATAATGAGGTAAATCTGGTGTTTTGGAAATCATCGTGTCATTGCCGCAAGGTCAGACCGGTCAGACCCTCCATGTGCGAGAACATCAAGCTGCATCCAGTTGTGGTATCTCGCTCTTGTAGTGCGTGCTTAGAGTAAGTGTCTCGTTTCAGTGCTGTCGGTGTCAGGTGCTACGTCGCTATACAAGATTATTAACGCTGACTTAACTTTACATAATAAACATTTCTCGTAATACCACACACAAACGACCTTCTGGTTTATATTGTTGGAAGACGTAAAAAATGTTTCGTACAGTGTTAAGAAACTGTGCAATCAAGCTCGAAAGAACATTTTGTGCATCAGTTTTACCCGCACCAAACAGAAATCCAGAAATCCTGTATACTGGGGTAAGTTAACGCATTTTTTAACAGGATGAGCACGCTGTCATGCAGACGTAATGTGTGTCTATGTGTGAAAACCCAGAAGCTGATTGTGAGTTCAGCATCAACAGTGAAAAAACAAAGAAATATAACGTATGTATTAAAACTGCTCTTTGTGGAAGACTAAAGTATTCGTGCAAAGGCCAGGATAAGTAGCATTTATATTTATGTATTTAACGTAGGCCTTGTATTATTTGTGGACATTGTCAGGCAAGTTCGTTACAGAACAAACTTATTGATGTACACGTTATAATCTTGATGTGTATATATTAAATGTATAACTTTCTTTAAGGAGAGACTGGCAGTGAGTAAACAACGCATAGATTTTGAAGAAAGCAGTCTTCTGGGATTTGGCACCGTGTATATGTGGTGTTAACCGACGTTTCGGAGGAACGTATCGCCTCCATCTTCAGGGTAGAAGAAAAAATATAAGAAATCTGCAAGCGAAGAGACCGTGAGAATCGGTAAAAGCAGACAGCTTTTACATCACAGTCTGCTTTTACCGATTCTCACGGTCTTTTCGCTTGCAGATTTCTTATATTTTTTTCTACCCTGAAGATGGAGGCGATACGTTCCTCCGAAACGTCGGTTAACACCACATATACACGGTGCCAAATCCTAGAAGACTGCTTTCTTCATAGTCACTGCTGTGAAAGCCTCAAATCTTACATAACGCATAGATTTTGTATGCAGAGGTTAAAGAGCAGGATAGTGTAGAAATCTCAAATAGGTTCGCAGCTTTGGAAAATTCTGACGAGGCGGATATTAATAGAGCTTAGGAAACTCAGAGAAATTATAACAATTTGAGCCAAAGAGAGTCTTGGTTACTATGAAGTGAAGAAGCATAAGGGATGGTTCGATGAAAGGTCATAAATTATTAGATCAAAGGAAGCCAGCCAAATTATGGTGGTTACAGGGTCCAAGCGAAATAAATGGGGAGAATCTGAACAGTATAAAATGTGAAGCTAGTAGGCATTTCAGGAATAAAAAGAAATATCTGGAAGACAAAATGAATGAACTAGCAAAGTGTAGTAAGAACAACCTGTATAAAGGAATAAATTAATTGAAGAGGGGTTATCAACCTAGAAGTAATTTAGTGAAGAATGAGAATGGTGATCTGCTTGCAGATACCCACAACATTTTGAATAGGTGGAAGAACTATTTCTCTCACTTATTGAATGTACAAAGGGTCAGTAATGTTAGGCAGAAATACATACATCTGAGTCGTTAGTACCTGATTCTGTTCCTTTTGAGGTTGAAATTGCTGTTGCAAAGTTGAAAAAGTGTAAGTTGCCAGTTAGTGGTAAATTTCTGGCAGAACTAATTCAAGCAGGAGGTGAAACATTACAGTATGGGATCCATAAGCTTAATAATTTTTGTATTTGGAATAAGGAAGAACTGCCTGATCGGTGGAAGGAGTCTGTTGTACCAGTTCACAAGTAAGGGGATATCAGTGCTGTCAAATTTGTACAAAATTTTATCCAATATCCTTACAAGGTTGAATTCACATATAGATGAAATTATTGGGTTTTGATGTAACCGACCAAGTACTGATCAGACTTTTTGCATTCGTCAGATATTGAAGAAAATATGGGAGTTAAGTGGGACAGTAAATCAGCTGTTCATAGACTTCAAGAAAGCATGTAGTTCAGTTAGGAGGGAAGTATTGTACAATATTCTGATAGAGTTTGGATACCCATGAAACTAGTTAGGCTGATTAAAATATGCTTTGAAACATATAGTTAAGTCTGTTTAGGTAAATATTTGTCTGATAAATTTCCTATCAGAATGGTCTAGAACAAGGCGATGCTTTATTGCTACTGCTTTTCAACTTTACTTTAGAATATGTCATTAGGAAGGTCCAGGAAAACCAGGCGGGACTGAAATTGAATGGGATGTATCAGCTGCTGGCCTATGCCGATGATGTGATTCTACTGGGTGATAACTTAGATACCATCAAGAAAAACACACAAACTTTAAGAGACAGCAGTAAGGAGTTTAGTCTAGAAGTAAACAGAAATCTTTTTTTTTTTTTAATTTGGACCAAAAAGAGATGAAGTGACAGGAGGCTGAAGGAAACTGCATAATGAAGAGCTTCATAACTTGTACTCTTCTACAAATATAATTACGATCATCAAGTCAAGGATGATGAGATTGGCAGGGCATGTAGCACGAATCTGGGAGAAGAATGCATATAGGATATTGGTGGGAAAGCCAGAAGAAAAGAGACCACTAGGAAGACCAAGATGTAGGTTAGTGGATAATTTTAAAATAGATCTTAGAGAGAACTGATGGGGTGGTATGGACTGGATGTATCTGGCTAAGGATAGGGACCAGAGAAGGGCTCTTGTGAACATGGCAATGAACCTTCAGGTTCCATAAATTGCTGGGAAGTTCTTGAGTGGCTACACAATTAGCAGCTTCTCAAGAAGGGCTCATCTCCATGAAGGTACTTAATGCATAGGCCACTAACAAATTATCAAAGAAAATTGAAGTTATCCCTGGGCCAAATTAAGCACCACGCTGTGAAAATGTGTGGGGGAATGGAGGTAAAGTCCAACCATTTTTAACCTTGGCACTGGATGCTGGTGAGTAGTCAGCTTCATGCCTCCAATTTACCCCCTAGGAAACAGCCCTCAGTACATGTTTTATAAGGAGCTGAATGGGTCTCAGGGCCAGTGTGGACATGTGGAGAAGAGAAAAATCTCTTGCCTCTGTAGGGAATTGATCCCCAACTTCTCAGCTCTCGAGTTAGTAGCATAGTCACTATACTGGCAGCTAGAAGTGGTATATTGTAAGTGAATGGTATGAACTATTGTAAGGGTACAAATGGGATTCAAGCATATATACAACATATATACCCAGAAATATGGCACTTACATGCAGATCCGGTAAGAATTGAAATAAGGCCTGTTATGGGAGCCCACATTGTTTTTCCATTGTTTCCCCTAGGAAACAGCCCTCAGTACATGTTTTATAAGGAGCTGAATGGGTCTCAGGGCCAGTGTGGACATGTGGAGAAGAGAAAAATCTCTTGCCTCTGTAGGGAATTGATCCCCAACTTCTCAGCTCTCGAGTTAGTAGCATAGTCACTATACTGGCAGCTAGAAGTGGTATATTGTAAGTGAATGGTATGAACCATTGTAAGGGTACAAATGGGATTCAAGCATATATACAACATATATACCCAGAAATATGGCACTTACATGCAGATCCGGTAAGAATTGAAATAAGGCCTGTTATGGGAGCCCACATTGTTTTTCCATTTTGTTTTTACTTTACATAAAGAGTGCCCTGACTCCAAATTTGTGACATTTAATCTTAAGTTTTAAAAATGAGCTGTGGGGAAAGACAAACAAAGTAATAATAGTAATGATGATATGAGGATGATCATCGTGATGGTGATGATATAGTAACTGCAGAACTGTGATTGCCAAATAGGAGATAAATTAGTATACTGCAGCATACTTTGAGGTCTGCATTACAGTTGGATGCTCATGCATGGATTGTGAGCTGTCAGTAATGACAATGTAAAATTTTCCTCACATAGGCCCTAAAAAGAGGTGCCATAGATGGTGGATGTGATGGCACTCGGCATTTCTCATTCGTTGCTTACAGTTTTATCTCCCCTGACCTTTGGTCACAGCCTAATCTGCTTGTTGATAGCAAAGGTTATCTTTGCTAAGATTTGCGAGGACAGACTCGCTAGATTAGTGAGGGGGTAAAGCGTGTTATGTGGAAGGGGGAAGTATAATAGGATATGGAGCGGTCAGTCCATTGGACTTGTTACTGTACTGTCAGTATAGTGTTTGCAATTGACAGTGGCAGGTGTTCCAGTTGGTACTGGCTAAGTTGCTATTTATTATTACTGAGTATAGTGATCTAATCTTACTTGCTACTTGATGTTGGGGTATCTTCTTCTTCTTCTTCTTCTTCTTAACCTCCTCCTTCCTCCTCTTCTTCTTCTTCTTCTTCTTCTTCTTCTTCTTCTCCTCCTCCTCCTCCTCCTCCTCCTTCTTCTTCTTCTTCTTCTTCATTTCTTGAACGCTTTGGCCTGATGTTGGGGGTATAATAAAGATTATTCTAAAATTAAATGCTTTAAAATTTGTATGCATTGTTCATTACTGTAGACATGAGAGACAAGCAAAATTCTTGACAGTAGAGTTTTCTAATTGGTGTACACGCTGATACAAACAACACATTAAGACAGTTTTGTTCAGAGCAGCGTAAGAACTAAGTATTAATATTCTTCATCCAGGAATTTGTGAGCATGCCAGTTTGAAGGTTTTGTTGATTAACAGTGCAATATTTTATTGTTTGCTTTAATTTGGCCACACCTACTCTAGAATTGCATGATGCAGTTTAAGAATTCTGAATATGTAATCAGTGTTCATTCATTTTCATTTTATTCATAAGTGGCTCTGTGGCCGTTTCTTGGGCCCTGGCCTCTTCAGTTTTGTAATCTTTTTTACACAGACTGTAAGACTCCTTGGAGGAATGATCCACCTGTTGCAAGGCCACACAGGACAATACAAAAACAGAAAAAGCCCACATACAATCATCTATGCCTTGACTGATATTCGAATCCACAATCCCAGGTTTGAAGCGAGTGAAGGCAGTTCATGCCTTAGACCACGTGGCCACTATGACTGGCTTGTAATCGGGGTGTAAAGAACAGATATATATGGAAGTGTGCTTCTGCATTTCAGATCTTCATCAACAATGAATGGCATAAGTCATCATCAGGCAAGACATTCAAGACCTTGGATCCGGCAACAGGTGAAGTTATTACAGAAGTACAAGAAGGGGACAAGGTGGGTTTTATGATAGTCATGTAATACAGTTGCACATTTATCATGCAGTAATTTGTAAGTGGGGAACTGAAGGTGAACATACGAGGGGGGACCCAAAAGTAACCGGAAACGACCTGTTGCGCACGCATGCTTTGTAGTTACAAGTTGTGCTGCTAGGTGGTGTTAACTGGGGGTCTCCCGCGACTGTTAGTGAGCTGGCGTCAGTCTGAGTTAAGTGGTTTGTCTGTGGTGCTCTGTTGTGTGCGTTCCTGTTTCAACCCTTTGGCGATTAGTGAGATGGCTGACCAGAAGGAACAAAGAGTGTGCGTGAAATTTTGCTTTCTGTTAGGGAAAACTGCACCCGAGACTGTTGGGATGCTTTGGCAAGCCTTTAATGATGATGCTTTGGGGAAATCACAGGTCTACGAGTGGTTTTCCCGTTTCAAATCTGGCAACATGTCAACAGAAGACATGCCACGCCCCGGGCGTCCTTCGACAGGAAGAAATGACGAAAACATTGCCAAAATCAAACGTGCAATTGATGAAGATCGTCGAAAGACCATTGACCAACTTTCTGAGGAAACGAACATCTCATGGAGCACGGTCCAGCGAATTTTAACCGAAGGTTTGCACATGAGACGGGTGTCTGCAAAATTTGTTCCTCGCTTGCTCGGAGATGACCAAAGAGAAAACCGCGTGAATGTTTGCCGCGACTTGAAGAGTGAAGTGCAGAACGATCCAGAATTTCTTAAAAGAATTGTGACTGGCGATGAGTCTTGGTGCTACGGGTACGATCCAGAATCAAAGCAATCATCAAGCCAGTGGAAAACTCCAACTTCACCATGACCGAAGAAAGCGCGTCAAGTGCGATCCAATGTGAAAACAATGTTGATTTGTTTTTTTGATGTGAATGGCATTGTCCACAAAGAGTTCGTTCCGCCAGGACAAACAGTGAACCAACATTTTTACCTGGATGTGTTACGAAGATTACGAGAGAGTGTGCGACGAAAACGGTCCAAAATGTGGAGAAATGGGGACTGGTTGCTTCACCATGACAATGCTCCAGCCCACACAGCTTTGACGGTCTGACAGTTTTTGACAAGCAACAACATGGTGATTGTGCCTCATCCACCTTACTCACCCGACCTGGCTCCGTCGGATTTTTTTTTGTTTCCACGGATGAAGAGAAGTCTGAAAGGAAAGCGATTCCGTGATGTGGATGAAGTCAAAGAAAACACGCTAAAGGCTTTGAACAGTATCCAGCCTCAAGAATTCCAGCACTGTTTTGAGCAGTGGCAAAAGCATTGGGACAAGTGCATTAATGCACATGGACAGTACAGAAGACTGTACAGACATTTGTACTTGAAATTTATTTTAATTTTTTTGTTGGGTTATTTTGTGATATTTTCAATGTCACAAACTATACAGCGTCAGCTGGTAAGATAATAGTTGGAGTCTGAACCATAATGGACTTGGAAGGAAGCTGTCATCACCTAGTTAAGGTACTGTCCTGGTATTTGCTTGGTGCAACGTCAGTCACAGGTGGTGTATGCAATGCAATTTCTGAACAGTCACACTTCATTGTGTGTAGTGTGGGGGAACCCAAGCAGTGAAGCTGCGAAAGTATCTAAGTAACTTTGACATTTAGACGTAAAATATTGTGATGGCAAGAACAAACGTAGTAATTGTAATGAAGTCAAATTTATGGATTATGTGGTACTAATGAACCACTATTGATAGGTTTCTCTTTTTCTTTGAAGATTGTTAAGGGTAAAACATCATTCCTTTTAGGCAAGGATTTGATTTTGCATTGTAGGCCAGTTGTTGGTGCCACTGAAGTGATGCTGAATGTGAGAAGGGATTCATTTTTGTCAAGTGACATACAAGGCATGACAACTTAATTCCCAGAATGGTTGCAGCGTGTTGCTGGTGTGTTGAGTCAGGCAAACTCCTGTACCCAAGCATGTTCAGACATGTTCTCACATGCGTTTACATGAGCCACAGACCAAATGAGTTGTTTGGTCCCAAGCAGCGGAGGAAGTAGTACGTGTCTGTGAGATATTGTTGTCAGAAAAATGGGTGAAAAATCGGGAGCAGCGGATAAATATCAAGATTTGTGTGAAGACTGGTGAAAGTGCTAATGAAACATTAACGCTATTAACAGTGGCTATTGTGAATGCGTTATGAAGAAATCGAGTGTTTCTGAAAGGCGTAGGTGGGGCAAGGAAGGGTGAGAAGATGTGCAGGATGACCTAAGAAGTGGGCAGCCAAAAGCACAAAGGACAGATGCAGATGTGGACAGAACATGGACCCTTCTGCACTCAGATCAAAGATTAGGCCTGAGACTAATAGCAGAAGAATTGAATATGAATAGGGGAACACATTATTGCATAGGATTTGGGAATGAGAAAAAAATACCACAAAGATGCTACCTTGAGTCTTGACAGATGACCAGAAACAATGTCAGCTTCACATTTCATCTGATCTTTTACACAACGCAGAGACATTTGATAGGAGTTTCTTCATATTCTAGAACATCAGACAACATTAGTTATGCATACAATTTCTGTTAGGTGCTTATTCTTTGCTTTTCTAATATTCTTTTGTTTGTAATTTTATCTTCTTTAACCCTTTGACGTGGTCATTTAAATTCCGCGGCCGCGGCNTTAAAATTTCTGCATAAGGAAGGATATACAAGGTGTGGCAATAAAGAAACCGGATTCATGCTCTAACCCTTTATTAAAAAAAAATCAGACAGTCGAAATGTTATCCCCTTCAATGTAGTCCCCTCCCCGATCCCTACACCGCTCCATGCGAATTTTCCACTGTTGGAAGCAGTGCTGCAGGTCATCTTGTGTTATGCTCTTCAAGAGTTGCGTCGCTTTTGCTTTCACTGCATCCACGGACTCGAACCTGGTCCCTTTCAG